GTGTGTGTGTGTGTGTGTGTGTGTGTGTGCAGGTGTCCAGGAGTTGTGTCCTGCGTTGGACCTGCTGTGTTCGGCCGTCAGAGACTCAAACAGTGAAGCTCAGAGTCGACAGTTTTCAGAACAGTTGCTCAACTTCACCTTGAACTTCGTCAACACACAGATCCGCTCTGTGCTGTCCAGCTCACACTGTAAGAACACACACACACACACACACACACACACACACACACACACACACACACACACCTGTCCAACATCTGTCCAACATAAGTAACACAATGCTCTGTTGTGTGAGCAGACGAGGAAGCAGGTGTGCAGAGCTGCGTGGACGTTCTGGACCGCTACGTCACTGAACTGAGGAGCTACATGAAGAGATATCCCTGGCCTGCAGGGGGCGATGTCTCCAGCACCGACTCTGCTGCTCCAGCTCTGCAGGAGGCGACGCTGGAGGACGAATGGGAGCATCTCCCGACAGAGGTGACGTCTTAGTCACGTGAATGAAGTAGTGTTTCCTTTTGTGTCAAACCTTCTTGTTAAATATTTGTGTGTGTGTGTGTGTGTGTGTGTGTGTGTGTGTGTCTGTGTCTGTGTGTGTGTGTGTGTTGCAGGAACTGGTCCAACAATCCATCCTGACCAATCAGATCCCCAGAGCTCAGGCCATCCTGAGGAGGCGGAGCCGCCCGGAGCAGCACCTGTCGGCTCTGAGGATGGAGGGTCTGCGGCAGGTCTTCTCTCGCCTGCAGCAGCGAGACGCGCAGACCGCTAACGCTCTCCTCGTCAACATGGTGAGGACATGTCCCTGAGCCGTCAACCAATCAAACCACCTTTTCTCCTTTATCTCACCTGCACATGTTGAAGAGCAAAGGTTTGAAAGTGTCCTGACGTTAGAGCCGCTGTTTGAAAAGGTGTTGATGGAGGACGTCAGTGACGGGAGGTGGTTTGATTCGTTCACCAGCTGCAGCTGCTTCTTTAAATCAAGTCAAACCGATGAAACGTTCTGTCCTTGAATCTGTTTCCAGGGTTTCAGTGTGAAGAAGCAGCTCCACAGTTTCTGTCTTTACACCGACGACAAACACCTGAGGGAGTTTGTGGTGAGTGTGTGATTTTCATCATATGACGGCGTGTTCCATGTTGTGTCATGACGTTATTCTCTGATCTTCTCATATTCTCCCTCTAACGTGACACAGAAGCCTGAAATTATGACTTTGTTCTCGTAATATTACAACTTTATTCTGGAGATCTCTTTTATTTCTTCAGCGTGGCCGTAAGACTCTGTTGTTAGTTGTTTCTGGTTTAACATGGATCCAACACGTATGTAAATGCTTTTTGAATCTGAAGATCTAGTGATTATATTTAACATATGCTAATTTAGTAATTTCCAAATGCTTTTCTTGACTTGGCTGTAGTTCGTTACTTTATGACGGCAGACAGATAAAAAAATAAAAAGTTGCTGAGACTCCACGGGGCCGCCGCGGCGTCATGTTAACAAGTCCATGTGGACTGTGATTGGTTACTCGCAGGTGGAGGAGCTATCGAGGCGGAGTTATTTTACAGAGGAGGAGATGCAGAGTGTGACGTTCATCAGGGAGCTGGAGAAGCTGGGATCAGTGTTTCCATCTCGCTGCCCTGCGGACGCCACAGGGCTCAGGTACACTTTCATCTTCCTCTCATCGATGAATCACAGGCGACCATCTTGATTCAGCTGTTTCATGATCCACGAGGAAATTAAGTCTCTGTCTCGACTCACCGTCTCTCCAGCGGCGTTCAGATGGTTCAGAGGGAGACGGGAGGCGGGGACGAGGAGGTCCTGGGGGAGCTGGTGGGACACAGGTGGTCAGATGAGGAGGCGGGGCTCTGGCAGAACGTCAGATTGGACTGGGTGAGGAACTGGGACCAGAGCGGTCAGACCGCCGTCCTCCTGTCCCGACTGCAGCACACAGGTTAGAACCCGACATCGCCGAGCGACTTTGAATGACGTCTCTCGTTTTTAATGAGCTCTCCTCGTGTTCTTGGATCTTCAGAGTTAAGCTCCTGTGACCCTGCCGTGTTGTGGCGTTACCTCACCGCCCTCCACGACCAGCAGCGGGTGGTCGACTGGATCCAGAACCGGGAGACCGCTGGCGCCTCCCTGTGGCCGGAGTTGGTTCCAGAGCTGGTGAACAACAACACACTGTGCAGCACGTACATGAGGGAGAACATCCTGGACCTGCTGGCCAGGTACAGGTGTTAGTTAGATCCAGTGGTCGTCATGGTCACATTTAACAGGAAACTGTGGTGGTGAAGATTCTTCTTTACGTTGTTGGATTGAACTTCCTGTTTGTTTTCCCTCCAGACGAGGCCGGTTCATCCCGGAGGAGCTGGCAGATTTAGAGAAGCTGCTGTGGCGGCTGGCTCAGGGGGGAGGGGTGATGGCTTCGTCTCCGCCCGTCCCTCAGTACCGCTCGTCCCTCGGCCTCGACCTCCACAGCCTCGTCATCACCTTCTGTGTGGATCACAACCTGAAGTACCTGCTCTACACCTACCTGGAGCACTACAGGTGTGTGCTCACCACTTTATGTCTCTGTGCCAGCGCCCCCCAGTGGCCAGAGGGATTCAGTTCTTATGAACATGGTTTCTCAAGAACGCCTCGAGGGGATTTCTTCAAACTTGGCACAAATGTTCCGTTTGACTGAAGGATGAACTGATCAGATTTTGGCGGTCAAAGGTTGTGACCTCACAAAACCTTTTTACTTCCTGAACACGTTAAGAACTGATTAGATTTCAGTGGAGATTGATTCTTTGACGGTGTTTCAGTTCTACAGCCACTTAACTGTAACGTATCCGTCAGCTCATGACCTCCGTGTTTCTTTCGCCGCAGATTGACTCCAAGGAACTGCCCCCTCCTGACCAATCAGAGCCTGTCTGAGAGTCAGCCCTGGTTGGAGATGATGGTGAAGATCCAGGAGATCACCAGGGATCTGTCAGGTAGCAGACTGTCTCCTCATGATCAATAACTTTTATTAAAACAGATCATTAATAGTTTGGTTGGAAATCTTCTTCACTCAGTCAGACACAAGTTAAATTAGTTTGTTTTATTTCAGCCTAGTTTCATTTCTTTACATGGGGATTATCTTTTTCTTACTTTGTTTACTTGAGTTAACTTTAATCCGCTTTATCTCACGATCACTCACGTTAGATCAAGTTCGATTCTAACGCATGTACGTGCACTGTGACACTGAGTCAGTCCTCTGTGTCCGTCTCTGCATCCAGACCCACGACTGCTCTTCCAGGCCTGTTTGACCAGCGCTCAGGTTCTGTTGCCGGGCAGTCAGGCGTCTCTCAGCAGCCTCCTGCTGGAGGGACACAGTCTGCTGGCTCTGGCTGCCGTCATGTTCGCCCCTGGAGGAATCGACCAGGTAAACTTTAAACAATGATCCTGGCTGTTTCACAATAAAACCATAATCGTGTGAAGTGTCCACATGTGATTCTGCCTCTGCTGCAGAGATGTTTCATTTTTAAAGCACTGATGAGCAAAGCAGTGATGAAAGTTTGTTTTTGCCAAGTTCCGACGACAGTTCACACGACTTCCTGTGATCTTGTACCTGACATTCTATTGGTTGAGGAACTTTGACAAATCCCTCGTTACCGTCGAGATGTCGAACATCACTTTCCTGCTTTTGTCTGAAACTGTGGTCGCTGGGCTTCTTGTGTCAGGTGGGGCTTCAGGGGTCAGGCAGGTCAGGGAAGACAGTTGACCCTCAACTTCTGAAGATGGCGCTGGCTCCCTACTCCAAACTGAAGGCTGCCCTGTTCCCCACCGGGCCCCGGGGACACAGCCCGTCCTCAGATGTCTCTGTTTACCATCTCCTGCAGGTATGTTTACACCAGTCAGCCTCGGTCCTCACTCAGATAATTAAATTCAGCCTCATCCTCTGTGAAATGTTGTCACTTCTTGGTGTACGAACCATCCTGCTTGTTCCAGGATGTGTTGCTGTGTGTAGAGTGTAGTAAACATATGAAATGTTTTCCAGTCGCTCCATCCCCTGGACCCGTCCCGGCTGTTTGGCTGGCAGGTGGCGAACGCCCTCAACTCCACCGGTGAGCTCCAGCCAATGAAAATCAAGTGTTTGACCCTGTACACCCTGGTTTTTATTCTACAAATGGTTTGAATTCATATAGAAATCCCCTTCATTTGTCAAGTGCAGCTAATCATCCGAGTTTTACAACAGTTAGCTGAAGCAGAGCGGGTTAATGTTCTCCCACATCACCACTCGTCATGTGTAACGAACATTTGTGAAACAGAAAACAAGGAGAGGGAAGAGGCAGAGGCAAGGGCTCATTTGCATATTCATACATCCGCAAATTTTAAATGAGACAAAGACCTAAAATCTGTCAATTAGAATTTTCACAGAAATGTCTGAAGTAGAAACACAGATGTGAAGCTGTGTGTAATTTATTTTTTTGGTTTCCTCCTCCGCAGAGACGTCGGAGCTGCCTCACTTCTCCAGCCCTCACCTGGTCAACAAGTTCGCTCTGGTGGAGAACCTGGACTTCCTGTACTACCTCCGTCACGGCCGACCTTCCTTCGCCTACGCCACGTTCCTCGTCCAGCAGCTGAGCAGCTGCAGCGACATGAAGCTACTGTGAGTTCTGACCCCGCCTCTCCACAGCTGTTCAGGTCGAGTCAGGTGAGACGGAAAATAATCATAGTGTGTGTGTGTGTGTGTGTGTGTGTGTGTGTGTGTGTGTGTGTGTGTGTGTG